GTTTGTAAAAGAGTTTTGTTATTTTAGACACACACACACACTAAATTTTAAAATAGTTGCTAAAAACTAGTAATCAAGTTTAGTAAAGGCACAGGAAATAATGCCACCATTTAAAACTTCTGTTTTTATAAAGTAGCAACAAAGAATACACAAAAATTTAATAGTGCACAATTGCTTCCAAAACATGAAATACCTAGTAGATTCCGAAGATACTATGAATAACTATTCAAATTGTTAACTAAATATACTTCTGAGAGAAATAAAAGACAAACTTAGTACATGGACAACCTGTGCTACTGATAGGAAATCTCAATGTAGCCAGGAGTCAGTTCTCTAACAAAACACTGAGAATTCTGACAAGATATTTGTAAAAATTTAACAACCTGAGATTCTAAGATTTAACTGGAAGTCCAAAGGGCAGAAGGACATCAAAACCATTCTGAAACAACATGTGGTAGAAAGACATTTAATATGGTCCCAGGATTCGGCCCCTTGGTTTGACCTGTATAATTTTTCCCATTGAGCTGGGAAAGGGTTTGTAATATAAAGTAATTTGAGGCTCATGATTAGATTGTGATATTCAGCAAAGTTGAAGGGATTTCCACCAATGACTCCACACTAATCTGAAGTTGCTGCTTGCCTATGTGTTTACACCTACACCAAATCCTTACCCCACAGAAATAGGCATGGCTTTACCACATATGATGCTAAATCTCAGTGTCAACTTGATGGAATATATAATCATCTGGCAGGTGGACTTCTTGGCTGCCTGCGGGCTTTTATCTTGATTAGGCTAATTGTGGTGAGAAAACTGACCCATGGTGGGTGGCACCATTCCCTAGCTTGGGCTTCTAAAGTATATAAAAAGGAGAAAGTAAACTGAATGCGAACTTTCATGATCTTTGCTTTTGTGTTTAAGTTATCTGAACATTTTATACGTAGGTTCAATGTATCTTGATCATGTCTAACCCCCATACATCCCCTCTAGCTTTCCCTAGGCCCATATGACACATATCTCTCACAATTTCATACCCTCCTCCTTTGTCCAGTTAGTGCTGGGTGGCTGGTGTTCTCATGGGTGTGGGGCCAATCTCTGGACATAGACAATATACTAGTTTCCAGATCCTCTGAGAAAAGGTGGGTATCTCTCCCCAAACACACATCAACTACCAATAGTTACTCAGCCAGAGGTAGGGCTTCCATAACCCTTCCTCTGACCCTTTCGAGAATTTTAACTGACTTGATATTGTACAAGTCTTGTGCAGAAACCCACAGCTGCTGTGATTGTGACGTACAGCAGCCATGTCATACCCAGAGAACAGCATTTCTCATCATTCCTCCCTAGCCTCTTATATACTCTCTGCCCCCACTTCCGTGATATTCCCTGAACCTTGGGGTGGAGGAGTTCTTGACTGTGGAGGCAACATGAGCAGCTGCTTCAAGATCCTGCTGCTATTGTGACTATGGTGATGGACTGTAACCTCCCCTAGGGCCAAAACAAATACTTTCTGAAGTTGCTTTTTGTGGTATTTTATCAGAGCAATAAGAAAAGTAACCAAGAAACCACAATTTAAATCAAATAGTCTATTATGAATTACCTTTCAGTCAGACCAGAGGAAAAAGCCCTGGGACATATTTGTGTATTAGGACAGGGAATCCCCAGATCAAAGTGTAGTGTAGAAGGGAAATGGTGGATGTTCTGAAAGGTGTTGTAATTTTAAAAAGCAGACCATGAGAGAAAGATACTGTTCGACAGAGTTTGGGTGAAGGGTTATTTTTTATCGGGGCCAAGTGAACGGAAAAAAGGAGTTAGGAGAGGGGAGATGGGCCTCTGGGGACAGGAGTGGCAGAAGAGAAGAGAGGGGCAGAGAGAGAGATAGGAGAGAGAGAGGAAGGGAGGAGAAGGAAGGGATGGAAAGGCAGGGAGGGCAGAGAGTGAAAAGGAGAAGCAGAGGGACAAACAGAGAAAGAAAGAGTGGGGGCCCTTTTAAAAAGGAATGCAGTGAATATGCAAAGGTGGTGCTCTTAGTGGCTGCAGCTGAGGGCATATCCTGTTAGAACCCCAAGGACAGGCCAGTACCGATGCCTGAATACTAACACCTGTGATATCATCACTCCAATGGGAAATCAGGAAACACAATGGTAGAAGATACCTCTCGAAGTAGGAACATTCTCAAGATTTTATTAAAATGTAGGATCAGATTACTGCAGGGTGAGACCCAGGGCTCATCATATCTGACAGACTTCAAGTGACATGGATACTGTTGATTCACTGAGTATCCTGGCTGTAAAAGCATATGCCTGCATTTAGTAATGGTGTGGTTGTGGACCTGGTAGTGTATCCTTGGCACCAAGTCATTGAATCAGCCATATTTTGATTTTTCTCACTCATTTGTCAAATATATACAGAAAGAACAAAGTGCAAATAGGAAATTTTGTCTTTCATTGAGAGTCGAGCTTTAAAAATGGTTTTATACGAGGCATCTCATGTAACCTTTTGGCAACTGTCCTTCCCGAAGCAGCGGTTTAGAAAGGCTGGTTGGTCATGAAAGGATATCGTCGTTCTTACAGCTTCTTCATCTCAGATCTTCTGAGCCATCTAACTTGCAGCAATTTCAAACCCCCAGCATCCTCTCTCTGAATTCTTTCTCACAGACCTCATAGCCCTTGGAAATATCCTGGTTGCTTCTACTAGAAAAACATGTTATCAATTCCCGGGGGAGCCATCGCGACCATCAGAGCCTTCCTTTTACGTATTCTCAGTGACTTTACTCACACATTATCCTCTACAAGTGCCTCAGATTATTGCCGTCCTGGGCTCAGCCCACTTTCCAGTTGCCAGCAAGAGTGCCTCCTCTCACTGTCCAGAGGGAGGGCATCGTTAGCAACTGCTCATTCTGAGTGTGGTCTTCGGGACTTTGTTTCATTTACTCTGTCTGCCATGTCTTCTGACTTCTAGCCATCCAGTACCCTCCCTAGATCCCCGACCCACCCATTAAAAAGACTTCCTAGTCTTCTCCCATCCCCTTGCCAACCCTGCTGTAAATGGGTTTCCTTTTCCAACGCTCTTCCCTGCTGCCAGGATCACCTTGTTCTTGCAGTCTGGACCTTACCTTTCCAAACTGTCTAGACTACAAATCTGAAGATCATTAGGGGGGAAATGGCCTACTTTTTTATGTTGTTACAGGACTCTGTATATGCATGTACATAAATTCATATGTATTCCTAAAAGCATGGTAGTTATAAGCTTTCCTTAGCATTCTTTATTCATAGTAACTAGGTAAAGTAATTGTTTTGTAGATTCTCTTACATTATTAGCAAAATTGGTGAGATCAGAGTTAATGGTTATTTTGAGAGTCCATTTCTTGTATGGTGTGTGAAATCTTATGCACAAATAAATGCTATTAAAGCAAAAATGAAAATCTTGGTTCCTCCATTCATAGCAAGGAAAAAAATGAAACAATCTATATTCTTGCCTACTTTAAGGAGATAATGTTGGCAGGTAATGTAAGTTTAAAATAATGACTGGAGATTGCAGTAATATAATCAAAGTTTAAAACAGTGGCTGGAGAGGTAACTCAGCAGTCAAGAGCGCTGGTTGCTCTCTTCCAGAGGAGTTCAGTACCTAGCATGCACATGGCAGCTCACCACTGCCTGTAACTTTAGTTCCAGAAGATCTGACACTGTCACACAGACATGCATATAGACAAATTATCAGTGCACATAAAATAGAAAATAAATAATATTTTAAAAAGTTTAAAGTAACTACCAAATATTTACTTTGTGAGTGTAGTTGTTATGAATGGCCAGTCCATTTGAAGTCTAAGATGGTGAATAGTTCAAAATCATGGATTACTTAAAAATTATTCATTGTATTTGAAAAGTTAACATAATTTTCCTTGAGCTAATAATTAAGTTTTCTTTTGCTTTACTCTTGTACATTTGTATGTAGATAGTAAAAAAATTTCATCCAAAAGCAAGGTTAATTAAATGGGGGGGGCATGATGATGTCCAATCTGACTCTAAAACAATGTATAGAGGCTTACAGTCACTTGCAGTAATGATTAATCTTTACATTTCATAAAATAATAAATATTGGCAACACCTTAGATTTCAAGGGTGAAAACCACACAGATTTCAAAGAAGACATAGTTGGGAAAGAATTTTGGCACCTTTTGATTATTAGTCTTGACCATGGGACATTCATTTCTTTATTTTAGTCTGAACTTTATCCCTCACTGTTAGTTTGACGAATAATCAATTAAGTAACAAAATCAAATATCAATAAATGATTAAACCAATAAATAATCATTCAAATAAATACTCTCTCTGGATTACTGTGCTGCTATTGGGCCCCAAGAAACTTCTATAATTCAGATAAACTTGAAAGTTAAGTTACTCCTGCAGAATTTGGAATCTTCCTTTCCCCTTTACACTCTCTATTTCTCAGTGTCGCTATGACTTGACTTAGGCTCTCTGAACTAATACATTTCCCTTAAACGGGACCTGGGGAGTGTGGTTGGCAGTGGGTTTAGTGCTGGCATTGGTGAGAAGCAAACATAAAGAGATGAACAGCATTTAAACCACAGGGCAGGATCAAAGAAGATGGACATAGCATTGTGTGCAATGCATGCTCTTTCTCGTGGGTAATTGAACCTCTCCACAAATATCCCTACGTGAAATTATAAACCCTATTGAGAGGGATCAGACTGGCACGATTACCCCTGAGATGGTGTTCTTCTTAACAACAGGTCTTTTCTCTCTCCCTTTCAAGCAGGCTTTTCTGTCTGAAAGAACATCGTTGGAGACCAAAGAGGGGCTTGACACCCCTTTGGTTACTACTACAGAGTGAAGCAGGAATGATTTTTTTCTAGTCATTCATTGCTTTGCTGCTGTCTTAGCATAAATTCCAAATTTTCTTGTTTTTTTATAACAAATAACTAATCAGTTGTGTGTTGTAAAAGATGAAATTGAAACAAAAGATTTCCTTTCCCTTCCAGTTTGTTGTCGTGGTATTCTGGACCATCTATGCCTATGACAGAGAGATGATATACCCCAAATTGCTTGACAACTTTATCCCAGGTTGGCTGAACCACGGAATGGTGAGTTGATTAAAATAGCTTCCTCTGATAAAACAAAATCTGCTAAAGAACTATTCTTTAATTCAGACTTCCCATCACAGGGGCCTATGTGTCAGTGAAATCTTGGAAGATTACAATGACAAAAGAGTACTGATAGTAAATAATATTTCTTTCTATGGCATTGAGTCGTTGTGTAAACTATGCGGTAGATGAATCCTTTTTTAGGAGGTGCCAGTGGTGTCAAATCATAAAAGTAGCTCATTCCTGGATGAATGAGCAATTTGAAGTTTGTCATCATGCTTCAAGGATTCATTCCACCTCTATAGCCATTGGTCCTAGGTTCCACCTCCATCTTGCTTCACAGGGACTGTTTTGGAAGTAACTGCTGCACTTTGGCTGTTTTCCCAGACATACAGAAACACTGTTTTATTCCTCCAAGATCTGTGGCAGACATTTGAGGAATCTGTCTCTTTTATATACATATATATATATGTACATATATATCATCTTGTATGGATGCTTACATTGAATTTATGTGAGCCTTATGTGTGCAGGTGCCCATGAAGGCCAGAAGAGAGTATTGGATATCTGAAATGGAGGTTGCAAACTACCTGATGTAGGCAATAGGAACTGAACCTGGAGCCTCTGTAGGTTATAAGCACGCATAACTGAGCCATCTCTCCATCCCCATTGAAGATGTCACTAGAAATGGACTTACTCACCTTATGAAGGTCCACTCTTGCAGGGAGTTTTGCCTGAGTTGTTTTCCTTCTCTTTCTTGCCTAATTATCTCTAACACTTTAACTGGTCATGAAGCTCTCATTTGTTTCAACTCAAACAATTTGGATGGTTTGTTCACCACTTTGCAATATTTGAGGGTTATATTTTCTATAGAGAAGTTGTGTGTCCTCTTCTCAGCTTCTAAAATTGAGCTCAGTTTTGTTATTAATGAAAGGCAATTTTTAGGATAATCCCAGGATGTTCCCGTTGAAAAGGGCAACCCATCACAGAAATTATAGGGGAAGCAAGAGCTAGAAATCATGAGTCTTAGATCCAAAATAACAGTTCTTTCTGTTATTCTCTTCTGTCCTCAATTTGGGGCATTTTAAACAAAGCACAGTGTACAAACAATGTTACTGTACAGAGGCACTTTATCTAGTGTTTCTTAAAGGCCACCCATCCAAAGTGGTGCATCAGACAGTTGGAATTTTCTTTTAGATCAGTTAGAACTGTTGAAATATTAACATGTTGATCTAATTTCCTACATAAAAACTGGGTCTTGTTAGTCGTCATCATTTCTTGCCCCAAGTGCCCCTCGTGTTCTCTGCAGAATCTTTGTCTTACTTAGGGTTTCTGTTGATGTTAAGAGACACCATGACCAAGGCAGCTCTCCTGCCCCCTTTTATTGAAAATAGATTTATAATACAACTTGATTACAGTTTCTCCTCCCTCTACTCCTCCAAGTTCCTTCCCACTCCCCTCCCATACAGATCCATTCCCCTGGTGTCTCTCATTAGAAAAGAACAAGCTTCTAAGGTCTCTCACTCTGCATGTCTGACTGTATTTGTTCTCATCTGCTATAGGAGAAAGCTTCTGCGATGATGGCTGAACAAGGCCCTGATCTCTGAGTATAGCAGAATATTATCAGGAGTCATTTTACCACTACTTTGTTTAGTAAAGAATAGTAGTATTTGATCTTATGGCAGGTCTCTGGGCTATCTAGTTTCTGGTTCTTGGTCATCCAAACAGTGTTGGGTATGGGCTCCATCTCATAGAGTGTCTTAAGTCAAATCAGATGTTGTTTTGTTACTCCCACAAGCTTTGTGACCCCATTGTCCTAGCATGTCCTGCAGGCAGGACAGCATTGTAGATCAAAGGGTTTGTGACTGGGTTGGTGTTTACATTTCCCTTTTGGTAGCCTGCAGAGTACCTTCCCATACCAAAGCCACTGTAACGTAGAGGCCAAGGTTCTATGTCAGCACCACCAGCTCAACCTCTCCATGTTCAATGATTAGTGTGGGTGCTGTCTTCTGCAATGGGGCCTTTTAGTTTGTGGAGAGCAGCCATAGTTTTGGCAACAGCCTCGGTTATTTGGGAATTTCCATGGGATCCATTTGGTTAACAATTTCATTGAGTATAACCTAGTCCGTGTACTGGAAGCTTCATTTGATAACACAGTGTGCCCAGTTGGGATTCTGTCTCTCCCATTATTTGGATAAATCATTATGATTGCTTTCATATATTTCAGTAAGATTACACTGCATTAGGTTTCTGTACCACCCCTAAATTCTATCTACATTTCCCTCCCTCAACCCTATCTAATCCCCCTCTCCCAATCTCATCCTCCTGTTGCCATCCTCCAAACCACTCATAAAATCTATTCTATTTCTTACTCCCAGGGAGATCCATGTATCTCCCCAGTCTCTTCCTTTATATCTAACTTCTCTGGGTGTATGGACTATAGATTGGTTATCATGTACTTATCAGCTAATATCCACATATGAGTAAATACATGTCATATTTATCCATTTTGGGTGTGGGTTACCTTGCTCTGGATGATTTTTTTGAGTTCCACCCATTTGCCAAGGCAATTCTTATAAGAGAAAGCATTTAGTTGGGTGCTTGTTTAGAGTTTCAGAGGCTTTGTCCATTATCATGGCATGAAGAATTGAGGCAAACTGGCAGATATGGTGCTGGAGAAGTAGCTAAGACTTTTATATCCTGATCAGTAGGCAGCAGGATGGAGGGGGCAGAGACTGGGCTGTGAATGGACTTTTGAAACCTCACAGCCCGCCTCCAGTGACACACTTCCTTCAACAAGGCCACATATGATCTAAAAAGCCACATCTTCTAATCCTTCTAATCCTTTTAAACAGTTGCATATCCTGGTGACTAAGGACTCAAATATATGAACCTATGAGGGCCATTCTTACTCAAATCACCACACTCTTGTTCATCCAGTTAGGTCAATTACTTATTGCCTTATGAAACATGTCCAAACTCCCCAAGCAAACTTAGCTGTTCTGCTTTTCATGTTTGCACACGCTACCCTATTTGTAATATAAATGTGTTTATCCTCATAAAAAATGTTAAGGTCCTGTACAAAACAACAGCTTTTGAATCCTAAGCCCTTTTACCCAGATGGCTTGCATATACTAGCGTCAATATGTGCTTGATATATTGAGGGATGAATTAGGTATTGCTATTGTTTCTTCAGACCATTGTGTGTAAGGCATTCTATAGTGATTACATCTTTAATTTTTCACAGTGCCTCTATGAACAAGTAATTAATTACCTCATTTATAAATGAAGGTACCAAGGTTCAAAAATTATATACTCTCCCCCAAATCACTTAGCTATGGTGATAGCATGAGATGTGAGCTCATGCCTATTTGGTTTCAAATGTATACACTTACTAATGGTTTGTGTTTTCTATGAATATCTGAAACATTAACTAATTCTTTAAAATGTTAATTTTATAGTGTTTACAAGTTTAGGTGAAAATGCAGAAGAAATAATTTGAAAGTATCTTGAAGTTTTGTTTCAAACTGTGTGGCGTAGTTCAACTGTTGAAGAAAAACCAGCTGACAATTAACTAAGCATTTTAGGAACAATATTTTATGCCATTTGTTACTTCTCAAAGCAAGAATATAAATAGAAATGCCCTTGACATTATAGATACTAGACCAAACACATTGTCATTTCCTCTGTTAGTAGAAGGCTTGGGTCAACGTTAAGCATGTTTTTAATCTAAAAATGAAACAAACTTTGTCACAGTATCTCTAGATATGAGAAAAAGTGATAGGGACTGATGACTGTTTTTATTAGAAATCCAAACTGAATGAATTAGGAAAGGGAGCTCTCTGAAACAGGTGCCTACTCCCCAGGAAGAGAATACAGTGTACTGCTGCTAATGTTAGGAGGTTTTAGGTAGAAATATAATGACATCATTACTGTCAACCTCACACTTGTCCTGTTTGGCTTTTATTTACATCCTTGTACTGCACAGTGTTACCTTCAGACTGGAGAATTAATTATTTCATTTGCAGATCCTTGCTCTGAAATTTTAATGTTTCAGACAAAGGACTTATTAACCTTATGTGTAGCCATTAGAAATTGAACTTGACTCAATTTTTCCTCTGAACTTACTTGGAAAAGCTAATGGTTTTTCTTTTGGAAAAGGTGCTGCTACTTAGAAACACAAGGAGGAATTGAATGACACAAATATTTAGAAAAAAGGAAGTAAATTAACTAATCTGTCAAATCCTCTGAGATTTGTAGATCAGTAGATTCTTTGACATTGAATTTCATTTCCCAGAAGAGATAAATGACCATTTCTTTGCATGTTCTAATTCATGATCCCAGAATTAATGACCAAAGAATTTGCACATGGCAGTTGCACATGGTAGCTGAGGAATATCCTGCAATTTTCATCACCTTTCTCTAATTTCATATATATTTTACTGCAAACATTAATTAAATAAAATATTATGTTGATTCTTTAGCTTCATAATTATTTTCAGGAATCACAAAAATTGATTTTTATAAAAATGTGTTTAAAGAGGTATGAAATTTTAAAAATTAAATATTTTCAGTTAGATTCAAATGTTAAAGTTTTAAATATTTTATCATTATATTTGTAGATTAAAATATGGTAGCTCTTATTTTTACAAGACTTATTTGTTAGTTGCCTTTCTATTGCTGTAGTAAAATGACCAAGATAACGTCAGGAAGAAAAAGTTTATTTGGGCTTACAGTTCCAGAGGGATGAGGATCCACCATGGTAGGAGGAACAGCAGCAAGCCACGGGCCTGAGCAGGAAGCTGAGAGTTCATGCACAAGCAAGGACATGAACAAAAAGTGAGGCAAGACTATAGACTCTCAAAGCTTTTCCCCAGTGACACCCTCCATCCAGAAATGCTCCATCTCCCAAAGGTTCCACAGCCTCCCCCAGCAGCACCAACAAGTGAGGACCACGTGTGCAAACACTCTACCTTATGGGGGACATTTCTCATTTAAGT